ATTTTAAAACAGCAGTATGAAATATAAAATAGGTAAATTAAATTTGTGTTAAAATTCTTTCAAAATTATATTCAGTTTATTATATTATTTATCATTATTGCAAAATATATTTCACATTTTCATCATATTAGTTATTGAAAAAACGAATAAAATATAATTCCTTAATTGCAGACTTGAGTATATAAAACCGTTGTACGATAGTTGATAACAGTTAATTCAAAAATTTTGATTCGAGGAACTTAAAGTATTATTTGTTGATGATATACACTTTAATCGAATGATGAGACAACGATGGCGAGTAAAATAAAATAACTAATTAAATTGCAAACAAATTAAACAAGTGGGGAATCAAAAACTTTCCGAAAAAAATAAACAAATATTTTATTTTTTTGAAAACTATATAGATTATGAGATTTTATTAAATATACAAGAATGGATGCTTATCAATTATAGACCCCTTTAACAATTGTTCGCTGATTTTTACTGAAAAAAAAAAAACAATAATAATAAAGTTATAAAATTGTTTAATGAAAGGTTTGTAAATTGTAATACTGAACAAATTAAACCCTTTGACATCGGTCGCGCGTTTGACGTCTACTATATACAGTAAAATGAACCAAAAGTATAAAATAATAATTATCATTATGATTCTATCAATATCCAACTCACAATAATTTATTATTTGCCTCCTAGTAAAAGCAGTGAACATCATTTCACGTAAATTATATTTTTATAATATATTGTATTATAGGTGATACTTGAAACATTAACACATGTTATATTACATTACATAGATATTTAAATATTGACATGACTTTCTTATATAAGTTAATAAAGGTTTATAGAATCTAGTTATTGGGTTTGTAATTACACGAATATTCCAAGTTGTAAAACTACAATGTAACGAAATTATGGATTTTAAATAAATTATTGTTAGCGAGACTCGGTAAAATTAATAAAAATAGTTTTTAAGAAAAGATGGTATCTAAAATTGATGCACCTAATTATCATCAACATAATATTTAAAATTATTATAATTTACAACAATCAATTATTTGAATTATTATACTTGCCAGTCAAGATATTACTTATACAAATATTTTTATAGTAGGTTTAGTATTTCATTTTTGTTTTTTTGTTTTTTATGAATATTGAAGTTTGAAAGTATTATAATTATCATGAATATTTACAATCTTGTAAAGTGGTATGTGTTGTTGTAATGCGCCAGCGAGTATTGATTATTGGATATAACATGTTATATATTTAGAAAAAGTGGAAAATGATAATATAGCTAAGTTGTATTTAAGTATTGTAAACTACGATGATGATGAAAATAATAATATTAATAATAATAATGATAATAATAATAATAATAATAATAAAAATAACAATAAAAACAATAAATAATAAACCCTGAATACTTCATTATGTGCATTGTTTTTTTTAAATTTTTAAAAATTTCTTATTATTGAAATTATACTATATTAAATTTAGAAATTAAATAATTGTCATTTATGATATTTAATATAAAGGGAAATATATATATATCATGTTCAGATATTATTCAGAAATATAAATTACAAGCTATTTTTGTTTTTATATAAGATGTACCTAACTAAATGTTTTTAAATGAAGGGTGGTATTTTTTTTTTAATTTGTGAGTTATGGAAATCTTTAATAGAGTCTACGATATAAAAGAGTATATAAATTATTATTGAATGATCTAAATAAAATTGGACTTATTGCAAATGTAAAAATGTTTTAATAATTTTAAATATTAATATTAAATAACACGCATTTTAGAAATGCATCATTTTTTTAAAAATTAAATGAAGTGCTATTGTTTTTAATTTTTAATTGGACAGTGTGATATTACGTGCATTAGAAAATATATATTGAATAATATTCGTTTGAGTTTGAGTTGAGCATATTATCTTATTAACCTATAGGTGCATGCAACTACTTTCTATTTAAACATTTAGTTCTAAGGTAATGAAAAGTATCATGTTAAAATATTATAAATTAATAAAAATTTATAATAACAAATGATGTTAAGTTTAAATTGTAATTGTTTAATTTTTAAATTTTCCAACAAATATAGTTTTAGAATTTTAAATTCCCTAAATGTTGTAAGAAAAAATAATATGTATAGTTTTGTATAATCGTTGTTTAAACAATATTTTAATTATTGTATATAACATCGTATAACTCATAATAATAATTGAAAAAAAAATGGGTAAATTATATATATGTTACGGTAAATGATGATAAATGGAAATTAACGTTATTCACCGGTTATTAACGTTATTTACCAAATATACAGGTAATTATCGTTATAAACTGGATAATCACGTTAATGACCAAATACACAGGTAATTGATGTTATAAATCAGATAAGCGCATGAATCTCAAATACTACAATTTGAAAAATTATGTAAGTACCCAGATATTTTTAAAAATAGAATAAATGCATTATTATTTTTTATTTATTTTTACAAGTTTTACTCCCATGACATTTAATATAACATAATTTTTCAGCCCCAAGGTAAGCACAATGCTTATTATTAATACAACTAGTCTTGCAATGACAACGCTGGTACCTTCGAGGGCTCGCAACCGAATTATTACTAGCTACTTCCCTCAGTGTCAACTGTCTACCATCTGCTAATTTTATCACATTGTCCATGTCTAATAGATTTTATTTGCAAACAGCTATTTTTGGCATGTGAAATAATATTTAAGAAAACTATATTCCGTATTTATAAAATAATAAAACAAATTTTAATTTTAATAGTATATTTTTTCACTAAGAATTAACTTACAGAGTTTGTATAAATCATGTTCAACTTGAGTGACAACTAATAGTATATTTTGCATAGAACCACGAGCTCTATCAACGTTTGGTATAAATACACATACAGTTAAGCCTATTTCAAGCTGAGGAAACTTTTCTTTAGAAAATTTCATCATTTCCTCTTTGTTTTTCTAAATTTTTTTTTGAATTTTTACATACAATACAAATATTTTCTTGACAATCATCAAAAAAATATTTAAAATAATTTTCAAATATTTATATTTTAGTTTTATTTTTGTTATATTTAAAATTCGGAAATTTATCGTTAAATAATTAAAAAATATTTAAGTACCAAGTTCCGAATTTTTTTTCTGCGATTTCTATGATTTAATTTCCGATTTTGTCTTCTTTGATGATTGGTTCTTTGGTTATTTTTTTAAATCTTCCGCAATAACCTCTTTTATTTTATAATCAGATCAAAATTTCCCAAATCATACGGTTATTAACGTTATTCACTAGAAAATAACGATAATTCCCACATTCGTAGGTAAATAACGTTAATAACCGGCGAATAACGTTAATTTCTGATATAACATCATTTACCGTAACATATATTTATATAATACAGGACGGTTCTTGAAGTAATGTACATATTATAATATAGCTTTATTAATATTATAGTGTATGCATGCGTACTACGAAATAATTATATTTACAGCTCATTATTTAGTATAATAGTGTCGTACAATGCAGATCAACTCAATCGAGATAAGGACGCAAATTTAAGGTAAAAATAAATAACACACATTATAGTTAAAAAGGATTTGATGGTAGATGTTTTAGTAATTTGGTTAGTTAATCAATTTGCCAAATAAATAATGTCGATGCTTTAAAAAAGCGTCCGAATTGATGACAACTGTTATTACGTTATCAATGCATTTTCATAATCAACATAATCACTACGAGACGAAAAAAGTTAATAGTTTCGCGTTTTTTATATTAAGTCACAACTACAGATGTATATAATATGATGTAGAATATATTATATTTTTAATACAAAATAGCGATTAGATAATTTTAGGAATGGCGAGAGGTTGTGGAAATTCGATTATTTTTTTTTTTATTACTATTATTATGTATAATTTACTAAAATTGATCATATATAGTGTATACTATAAAGATGACATTAAATGACTTAAAAATGTACGTCCTGCTAGTTTATTTTGGGTCCCCATAATATTGTCAAATCTGAATATTTTAATAAGTACGAGAAGTGTTACGTTTGAATTTTTAAGTCTCCATTCTTTCTACGTGAAGATCATAATAGCAACAGTCAGCCATAATTTTGTGAAAAGTCATGTAAAATATTTTTTGTGCAATTGGAAAAAGGGTTTCTACTTAAATTTACAAAGTTTTACGACTTCATTATTCCGTCCGAACGATATGCGTTGACGAGTCATTGAAGACCACCATAGCGGTACGAGTTAGCATAATAGATACAACATAAATCTCCGAAAACGGACCCCGATGAGACGACGACGGCCCCGCGGGTTCACGGTACGATACATTAATTATCGTTTAAAATAAAGGCGTTTTCGTGGGCTTGGGAATTGTACACGTCTATAAGAAGACTAAGAAGAAGACGGACTATGATTTTATTTCAATTTTAAAACCGCGTGTTGAAATAATTATTTCTGGAGTCTATCGTATTTTATACTCCTCAGCTATAGCAACCTTTGTTATTCATTTATTATTATTATTCTTGCTATGTCTTTTATGTATGTATATTTTATATATATATATATATATATATTTTGGTTTTTGTTGTTATTTTACTTTTAGTATTTGCGTTTAACATTTAACATAATTTGCGATTTGCGAACCATCTTACTATACATTTGGTAATAATTTAAACGACAGAAAGTATGGACGCTTTTGATCGCCATGTTAACATAGACAATACTATGCCAACACACTATTATTATTGTTTTTCAGTATCATACATTTATACGGATAGGGTGAATTATAATTATGATGTTTAACGAGTATGTTTTCGAAATCGTCAACATTTTTACAGATCTAGTAATTTAATTCGTGTTTGTATCGAAGTAATGAAGAACAGTTGATGTAACTCGAGGTAAAAAAAAAAAATTGACAAATTTAACATAAGTTTTAAACGATTTTAAATGTGTATAAAGGTACTCACCGCTTCGATTTTCACTGTCAGCAGGCTTCATTTGTATTGGATGGTGCATCTTAAAAAAAAAATTATTAATTTTATTAATAATTTAACTAATTAAATGTCAAACATCTAATTCAATAGTAAACAAACATTCAAGCCAGTAACATAAGTAAGTATAATATTATAAGATTTAAAATTGATTTATGTGCCTAGTACAATATACACGAAACGACTTTTCAAAATTTATTGTTTGGTAGAAAAGATGAACATAGACTATTTGGCAGCAGTTATACTCAATAATATTATGTATTTTTATATACGTAATAAGCGTACATATTGTGTTATATATAAATATTATTTTGGTAATGTATATATAATATGTAATTTAATATTATGATATAATTTACGGATAACTTTCCTTGCGGGTAGAGCGTTAATTTTTATAATGTGATTATGAGCTGCGTATGGGCGCCATATACGACATACCTACTACAGCAGTGTTTCTCAACCTTTTTGTTAATGGTGATCCACAAATTTATTGTTTGTTGGGTATGCGACTTCCCCCTTCAAAAAAAAAAAAAAAAAAAAAAAACAATACTCGATAATCAATACAATATAATTTTATTTAATATAAAAATTATTTTATTTTTATATTTGAATGATAAATATCAAGTAAATTTGAAATAAAAATAAAATATAAAAAATAACAAAAAATTGGTATAAAATGATAATAAAATAATTGTATAATTGCTTATTTTAGACTTAGTGTGACGGTTATTTTTGGATGTTGCTGTATAATATTTCGCTTTGGAGTACTATTTCAGATAAGTTGATGAATATTCATGTGTAATATCTGATCTATTTCTTTAATTTTGTTTCAAATTGGCCACAGTAGAAATCTTTTTTCACATAAATAAGTGGTAGGAAAAAGAAATAGTTTATTATTTTATCACATATAAATTATAATGAAACTTTTGGAGACTCACTATATATACTGCATACCAAAAATCTACAACCGTTTCATTTTTAAATGTATTTTCATAAGTTTTATCATAAGAAAGTTCGATAATTTGACTTTCAAAAAGCGTTCGACTCTTCAATAGAAACAGTGTAAGGGTTTTCAATTCATTGGAAAAATCGTCACGAATGACTTTTGGAACTATTTAATGCAATTGATATTTGATTTAAATGTAATAAAATAATCTCCTTAATATTAGTTGATATTTACTGAGTTCATTTTCTTCTAGAAACTCGCCGAGTACAAAAAATATATCATTATTACCTTTTTCTACTTTTGTTTTGTGAATAATAATTTTTTTTTGAACGAAGCAATTTTTTTGACTTTGAAATTTGTTTCGCCATTTTTTACCATGCATTGACAAATTTAAATCATTAAACGTGGTAAAACTATCTACTAAATATGCTAACATTATTAACCATTTACTATCACAAAAATAGTTTTCCAAGCAGGAATTTTTATTATTGAGAAATTCTAAGACTTCGTAACTGAGTTGAAATTGTCTGAATAGGTATTTATCACTAGAAAGTCAATGTAGTTCCGAGTGAAGTAAAAGTGATTTAACGTTTTTTTTCATTGCCTTCACAGAATTGTACTTTCGTCTAATTGAATAGAAAATAGAAATATGGGTTTTGAGTTTAATTTGTTTAATAATTGTTGTTTTATGTTTTCGCTAATATTTATAATGTGTTTTTGAACAGTATTATTTCATACTTATTACTTGAAACTCGTATTATTTTTAGTTTATTTGACGCTTCTTTTCCTATTATTTCTGTACAGATATCAATTATTGCGGACAGAATAAGATTTTAACCGATATTATGTGGTTTATTATTTTTAGAAATTCTATATGCTCATAAATATTAAGCCTTTGCAGCAGAAAATTTAGCGTAATAATAGGTTTTTATAGTATTTTTATTATTTATAAATTGGAAATTTAAGTGTTTAAAATATTCTGTAAGTTTATTTTTTACATTTGGGCATCTGTTTGGTAACAAGATGTCTTTTTAATTCGGAGAATTTTAAACTTTCATTACCTTAATTGTTTGCACAAAAAATGCATTATGTTTGAACTATTATTAATTTCATAACTTCAAAACCCAAATTTATTGAAATCCTCATTGTAATTACGATTACTTAATGTTATTAATTTTTTTTTTTTTACTAAACTGGCTGACGGAACTAATTGACTAGTGCCACCGGCTTTGGTTTCGTGAGTAATAAATTTATCTATCGAAAAATTAAAACATAGTACATAAGATTTGATTATTTAAATGAGTGTCTAATCGTTAATTAAAACTTTGTACCTACTCGCGCAATCTTGATATACTGATCAATTGTATGGACAGTCGACCAATACCGTATCGACGGTCATTAACAAATTTATCAATAAAATAACAAACTTTCCATTACCGCAATAAAATAATACAAAAGTTACTAAAAATATAATAATATCCATTATAAAATCTTTTTCCTACATTCTAAAATACTAGTTAGATTCCTTCACATTATTATTATACGTAGAGATATATTATAAAATAAAACATAAATATTAAGCATTCATAAATTTACGGCTAAAATTATTATTATGTACATAATCAAAATAATACATCATGTAAATAATCAAAATATCTTATTAGTTTACGAACACAGTGAGTCGCGACATATCAAAAAACCCAACATTGGGTCACGACTAATTGGTTGGGACTTGGGAATCACTGTAAATACTATGGTATATTATTCGGGAGGGTTTTCTAGGTAAATTATCATAAACGTAAAATACTACAATGTGTATAATAATATATTTTATATGTTTTATATTATATATTATGTACACTGTTAGACTGATAGTCGAATTGCATAAACAGTTTATTTTTTTATATAACTGTCGTAACAAGCTGAGTTACTTTAACTGTCGAATTGTATCAAAGGATCTGTATATTAAAAAATTATATCTAAAAGTGAATAAATTATATTATAATATGTAGACTGTCGTAGAACGGTGAAAACAAATGACGCGTGACGTACCTACTATACTACTACTACTACTACTACTACTACTATTACTACTAATAATAATAATAAACCAAAATCGATACTCTCGACTATGCTTAAGTATATAGACTAAAGGAAACCTAAGTGGAAATAGGATGTGTTCAAAGGGGCTATTTTTTTCTTTCAGTTCTGAATCGATGACCTCGATCGAATTGTTTTAACATTGTTATAATGATTGAACAAAGGGTATATTAAAATATTGTACGCGTGTTTCCTTGTGTGATGAGTCATAAGTACCTAAAATATCCACCATGTCTTTATCGGGCTATTGAATAGGTATCTATTATTTTTGCGAGTTTTTTTAAAAGAAAATAAATGTATTTGGTCTATTTATTGGTACATCAACTTATAGTTTTTATAATATTGTCATAAATACACTCATAGTTTATGTAAATAGGCTAGTGGTAGGAAAATAGGCAGTAGTGTTTATAACCAATGACTGTACCAATGATGAAATTACGTCTACTATGTTAGATCGTACTAGTGTAAATTATTTTTCGTTTATCATGATCGGTGTAATCGAGATTAAAATAATGAACGCGAGTACATAATTTTCCATTAAATACTTGTCCACCCTTAGTGACATTTTTCTCTCTTTCTCCATTTATATACACACTCATACATATATTTATAAATAAAGGCCGTGATATATAATGATCTTTTTATTAATTTTTTTGTTGTAGACCAATACTCGAATGGATAAATACCTTCTATCACCACTGTACTTCTGTTCATTGACGTCTAAGAATAAAAAAATCTTTGGAGGATAAAACCCGTTAATCTAAATTATAAATATATTATATTTAGATTCGGGAGGGGCTTAAATATTTTGATTGTATAATAATCGTAAATATTTTTGAATGAAAAAAAGACATTTAATTCGATTCTTGTCCCTTCCTTTTCTAACGATTTATACTTGTGCTATAATAACTCACAATTGACATTTTGTATTTAAATTATGTTTTCTGTTAAAAATATTGATCTTAGCTCGAGTTAAAGATATACGCACGAATTATTGGATAAAGTATTTTATAGTTTTAATACTACGGTATTAAATTTTTTCAAGTGTTGAAAATTTGCTTACGAAATAAAAATACAATATATATGTCATTATTATATCATAACCAAGGATAATATTTATTAGCTTTAGAATAATTATAAAATATATATTAGAGTTATTAAGTGGTATGATTTGAGAAACATTGTATTGCTGAAGTTAGTCATTGAAGTATGTATTTGTAAAGTCTATTATGTTGACATTGATAATTTAATTATTATTTGTTAATATGGACACTCGTATGAACCAAGTACAGTACATTATATTTAAGTACCTATATCTTTGATATTCAAAGAAAAATCGTTATTTAATATTGGACTACGTCAGTACTAAAATATTACCTATTCATATTTTTAAAAGATAATAAATTTCATAGGTTGATTGCAAATGATACTGCAGAATACGATTGATAAACCTATGAATGTTATCTAACCATAATATAATACATAATAATATAATATAATACATTTATTTGGTTATACAGTATACTATTATAGTAATACAATTTAACTTAGTACACGTGTAATACTTTTTTAGAATGTTTGAAATAACTAGGGCAATGTTGGTAGTTAACTATAAATTAAAGTATAGGTATTTACAAACCTACTAAATTGTATATTCTATGTTTAACTTATCCGTTTTTACATGATAAAATGTTATTCAAATATTATTATAGTTAATTAACAATTTGTATTTTCAGCGTTCATTTAAATCTATATAATTTAAGATTTTTTTAACTTATAAAATTTATTATGTGATGTGCTATACTTAACGCTTTACTTTTATCAGATTCCTTTTCAGTTAAAATAATAAATTGTTTCCGAGCTTGGACTTCAAAAAAAAAAAAATGATAACCCTTATAAAAATTATTTACAACTTTTATATTAAGTTCGGAGTTTATTACTTATCCACAATGATATATGATTATATATATAGATAACAA